CCAATTTCATATGTTACAGGAGTAACCACACGAAGGACTCGGTATGAGCCTGTGTAGCGAGTAAGCAGTTTTTCTGACAAGCCAACTTGTGGGGTCGGAGACAAGAGCAGGACCAAAGAACCAGGCGGAAAGTGTACGTCGCGGTGTCGATCATACAAGCGCCGTTGCTTCTCTTGAGAGGTCAGAAGGCGAGTACGGGTGACTTCACGTGCATGAGCGGCCCGAGTAATAGCGTCCATGGCATATTCACTGATCGGTACTCCAGGGGACGGTATGACTGTGTCTAGAGGCAATGTTGTTTCTCGGCCAAACAGCAGAAAAAATGGAGAGTAACCGGCAGTGTCATGGCGCCAAGAATTGTAGGCAAATGTGACATACCGCAACGCGAGATCCCAGTCGGTGTGGTTGGTAGAAACATACTTAGCGAGCATGTCTGTAAGAGTTCGATTTAGACGCTCCGTGAGTCCATTCGTTTGCGGGTAGTATGACGTAGTCAGCTTGTGTCTCGTTTTACAGGACTGCAAGATGTCGGCTATGACCTTAGACAAAAAGGTGCGGCCGTGGTCTGTAAGCAACTGCCGTGGGGCTCCGTGTTGCAAAATCACGCCCTTGAGGAGGAAGTCGGCGACATCTGTGGCGCAGCTTGTTAGCAGAGCTCGTGTGATGGCATAACCGCGTGGCATAGTCGGTGGCCACGACTATCCACTTGTTACCCGAGGAAGACAAGGGCAAAGGGCCAAGTAGGTCCAAGCCAACGCGGAAGAACGGTTCTGATGGAATATCAAGTGGTTGAAGGCGTCCGGCAGGAAGTGTCGATGGCGTTTTGCAGAGCTGACATTTCTCACAAGCCGCAACGTATCTTCTGACTGAGCGTGCAAGCCCTGGCCAGTAGAAGCGTCGGCATATTCGGTCGTAAGTGCGTGACACACCAAGGTGACCAGCAGTCGGAAGGTCATGAAGTTCATGTAGAACTTCCGAGCGAAGGTGTTTCGGAATGACAAGCAGCAGAGACGGTCCATCCGGCTCAAAACTTTGGCGGTATAATACACCGTTGTGGAGCACAAATGAGCGATCAGACTGACTGGAAGATGATGATTCGAGGCGCTCAATGATAGCACGCAAGGACGCATCATAGCGCTGCTCGTCACCGATGCATGTCATTTGCGAAAGGGAAAAGACGCAAGGCTCAGTGCCGGTGTCATGCATAGTGCTCGACTTAGCGACCGGGTAGCGGGACAGGCAGTCTGCATCCTGATGTAGGCGTCCGGACTTGTACGTCACCGTAAAGGTATACTCTTGGAGTCCCAGAGCCCAGCGCCCGAGCCGGCCAGTAGGATCCTTCAGTGACGTAAGCCAACATAGCGCATGATGGTCAGTTATCACAGAGAAATTAGTGCCATATAAATATGGGCGGAACTTTGAGACTGCCCAAACAAGAGCAAGACATTCTTTCACAAACCTTCTAAGAATCTTTCATCTTCAAGAATCTTTCACAAACCTTCTAAAATAGGAGCAAAGTCCTACAAATCTCCGGACGTCTTTGGCTGACTGGGGTAAAGGAAAACTGGTGACTGCACGAATTTTCTCGGGGTCCGGCTGCACACCAGAGGCGTCGACACCTCTGTGTCGACACTGAGGTGGCCCAACACTGTAATTTGCCGGCCTCCAAAGCGACACTTCAACGAGTTCAATTGGAGGCCTGCAGTGCGGAATACGTCGAGAATAGCTGACAAACGCTGAAGGTGGGTCTCCAATGTTGGGGAATATATAACGACATCGTCAAGATAACAAAGACATGTTGACCATTTGAACCCTTGTAGCAGAGAGTCCATCATGCGCTCGAACGTGGCTGGCGCGTTGCATAACCCAAACAGCGTAACCTTGATCTGATATAGGCCATCTGGAGTTACAAATGCAGTCTTCTCTTGGTCTTTTTTGTCGACAGCAATCTGCCAGTAGCCGGAATGTAGGTCTATTGTAGAAAAGTATCAGGCGCTGAGGAGACAATCGAGAGCGTCATCGATGCAGGGTAAAGGGTAAACGTCCTTTTTCGTGATTCTATTCAGATGTCGGTAATCCACACAGAGCGCCACGTGCCGTGTTTCTTTTTAACGAGCACAACGGGGGATGCCCAAGGGCTCGAAGAGGGTTCAATAATTCCTTTGGCTAACACCTTAGTGACTTCTTGTTGAATTATTTTACGCTCGGTGCCAGACACCCAGTATGGTCGCCGATGAATGGGATGAGAATCACCTGTGTTAATGCGGTGCTTGACGAGTGAAGTCTGGGCGAGTGGACGGCGATCGATGTCGAATATGTCGCGGTATGAAGCCAGAAGGCAGCATAGCGCGGTTGACTTTTCAGGTTTGAGGTCCGAACGATCATGGAGTGTAAGGTCGCATCGAGGCACGTGGCATCCTGCGAGTGATGTGGGTGCTCAGGACATACGTCTGCCGTAAAACAAATGACGTGGTCGTCAATTAAGGTCCTTAGCGTGGCGACCGAAATTCCTTGGGGTAGCACTTGTTTTATGAAACCGAAATTGATAACAGGTAAATATGTTCGGTTAGAGGCCATGCTTACGACAGAGTGTGGGACAGTAATGTCACGCGCCAGGAGAACATCAGTAATCGGCGTCATGATATAATCACCGTCGAGCAGGGGAGAAGGTGTTGCTGATTCGATGAATGTGAGAGCTTTAGGCGGTATCCGGAAGAAGTCAGTCGTGCACAGCCTGTTCGGGAGTTCAGGGTGAGAATCCGGGAGAAGAGGAAGTTCTAGGCAGAGAGTACCGGCGGCACAATCTATCCGGGCAGAATGCGTCGATAGAAAGTCCATGCCAAAGATTTGGTCGTGGGGGCAATTTTCAAGCACCGTAAATAAAACGGGGACATGGCGGCCGGCAATACTAACACGAGCGGCACACATTCCGGTGATGGCCACAGTTCCACCATCAGCGACACGGAGGGCTTTAGTTGCTGCAGGCGTGAGGACTTTTTTGAGCAGGCGACACAGATGAGCACTCATTATGGACACTTGAGCTCCGGTATCGACTAACGCCGTCAAAGAAATACCGTGCACATACACCTCAATCAAGTTCGTAATAGTGGGGAGCGTCATCGGAGGATTTGGATAATTTGCAAGCGATGCAGCACTACCTCCCGCAGCTGCATGATCTAGTTTTCCATACGAGAGTATCCATAGTTGACCGGCGACGGATAGCAACATGGTTGGGGCGATGGGGAACGGCTGCGTTGAGGTGACGGCGAACGAGCAGTGGAGCGGCTGTTAGGGACGTCGGAAGAAGGGTACAAACGACTGGGCGAATACCGACGGGAGTCCTCGTATGATCGATTAGAGGAAAATGGGCTCCAGTTTGAGGGCGTCCAAGTGCTGCGGCAGTAGCGGGAGATATGGCCAACTCGGTGGCAGCGGAAGCAGATCGGCTTGTCGTCTGCAGTTCTCCATTCCACCGGATTGCGGGATCGCGGAATAAAATGTAATTCATGGCGTGGTGCATTCGTTGTCATTGGTCTGGAGACGGGTCGGGAGACAGAGCAGGCCACAGGAAAACCAATATTTGCAACTTGCTGCCTCACGACGGCTTGAATAACAGAGACCGGCGGAGGCGTTTGTGCGGCGCCATGGTCGAGCGGAAGTGGAGGAAATGGTGCCAGACTTGACGCCTCAAGCTCCCGTCGAACTATTCGTGTCACGCTGTCCTGCATGGGTGGTGCGGCACCGATATCGGTGCAAGTGGATGTAACAGCCGTGTTTGGTAGCCGCGTAAATTGAGGCAGAATGCGGCGGCTTTTAGCCATTTCGAAGCAGCGGCATTCCTTGATAGTCATATCTACGGTCGTGACGTTAGTATAGACGCGCAAATTGAAGGCGTCGTCCGCAACGCCCTTAAGTATGTGGCCCACCTTGTCACTCTCTGTCATTTGCTCGTCGACTTTTCGGCACAACGCGAGCACGTCCTGTATGTACGAGACATATGACTCTGTTGAGGACTGCGCACGAGTGGCGAGTTCTTTTCGCGCTTCCATTTGGCGACCGGACGGGTCCCCAAAGATGTCGCATAGTCGCTCCTTGAAGGTATCCCAGCTGGTGAGCTCGGTCTCATGGGCGTCGAACCAGACCCGTAGGGTACCGTCCAAGTAAAATATTACGTTGGCGAGCATCATAGTAGGGTCCCATCGATGTGTGTGGCTAACACGCTCGTACATACAGAGCCAGTAGTCGATGGCACGCCCAGGTTGTGCAGAGAATGTACCGGGATCACAGGTGGTGGGCATCGTCAGGTATGTAGTGGCTGGAGCTACAGATGGAGACGCTGACGGGCTGTTGTCATTGGTAGCCATGGCCAGAGACTGAACGGTGCGGCCACTGCGAAGCTTCGTGGTAAAGACGGGGAACGTTCCACCTCCAACAAATATCTTACGGAAAAGAAGAGACGCTGTAACGACGAGGCTGGGAATTAGATATATTCAAAACCAGCGGTGATGGCGTGCCCGGTTCACCAGCGATCGGGCGGAGACAACTCTTCGTCTTCCTCGTCAGGCACACACGCGCGTTGCCCCCTAGAAATAGCATGTAGCAATATGATAGTGCTGATATTCGTGACTCCCATGACTTACGTTATAAGCAGTCTATACGGTATTCTGCTAATCTCTACTCAACATTATAAGAGATATCTTTGAATTTTAAGTGGCTTCCTTTTCTCTGAAAAATGCAAACTGGGGCTCTCCTCATAGTGGTGACATTTGTTGGTGTGTTTACTTGTGTTTGCCACCCCGTGTTCACAATAGTTTCTTGACAGACTGTGCTCAGTAATGACAAAAATTTTTACTTTGGACACTTTTAAGCACTAAATCATCACTTCACATTTATTTAATAGCTCTTTTTGGCATTTCTTCAATGTGGGTGAACCTCTTAAAGCTCTCTTTCTTGTTTCACACAAATGACATGAAATTACGAAAGGTGAGAATCTGACTGACCTGGTCCACATGAAACACGAGGTCAAGCTCACAGACGTTCTCGAAGGCCTTGTCAAGCAGCTCTACCAAAACCTGTAATAAAAATCAGAAATGAAAGGGCGAGCTATATGCTGATGAAGTGTGTGTAAGTGAGCCCATACATCATAAGTGAGAATTACTTGGCAATTAGATCTCGTATCCTCAGACTTTATCCTTACACAGTGTATGGCTGAATAACCAGCAATACAAACTTTATCCCATTTTCACACAAATTGTTATATATAACACATGCTTTTTCACCGAATTAGTCGCAGGTGTGGTGGACTTCCTGAAGTAGAATTTGCATGGAGTGTATTGTTGTTGGGCCGGCACTGCAGACTGTGACGTGTACAGTGAAACTTCCCTTGAATGAGCTTCAAGGGACTCTAGGACAAAGTTCGTTAAAATCAAAGTCCACTGAACTGATATAGCTATGTGGCAAATAGTTATCAGGACCTAAACTAAACATAAGTTGTTCTTGAAATGAAAATTTGAAACCTTTTATTTACAATGCTGCTGAATTGAAAGTGAATTTCTGCTTATCTAGCATGTTTTGAAAAATGCAGTTCTCTTCGACTCCACTAGTGCACAGAAGACTGCAGAGGTTGTGAACTGAGTCACTGTGTCTAAGCTCTCATGAACATTTTCTGGCACAACATTCAGCTGAACAAAAAAGAAATAAAAAGACCAATTTTTCTGACTACATCAGTGCTAGTCAGCTTCAATTCTTGTGCCAAATTCATATATGCATCCTCTACAAGTGTTACTTCTTCCTCTTTTTTTTTTTTTGCCTTCCTGACGCTCGCTATAATCTTCTGCAAAGACAGTCAGGCATTGTCTCAGCATGAGAGTCATAGGTAGCACAGTCCTTGGAATGCAAAGTACTGTCTGTACCTAGTTATGATGTGAAAGGCATAGGTTGGATAATGTCACATAATCTGCTTGTAGAAGTGCAATGCACTTGAACTAATTTTATTAAACTGAAATGTGTTACCACTCGCTTCAATGGTGCTTCAGCCGGGGACTTGAAAAAATTTGTACAGCTGCATAGATTGTTTCACTGGCATACCTTCAAGTGGTATTTTACTGTATTCACCCATGCTACGAAGAGAAACATAGAAGGGGGCATTGAATAGCAGATATTAGGTTAAAACTTGACTCCGTATCTTCATGCTTTGCTGCAAATGTCCTCAAAAGATGATAGTTTTCTGTATGGAGGCAATGCGTGAGATAAGGACGCCATCTGGCAGTAATGTCAAGAAACAGGAGCTTAAACAGAACCCAGGGCCACTGGCAGGTGGCAGCACCATGTCGTCAGCAGACAGCTTTTTCATGTATAGCGTCGCATCTTCAGTGCAGCGTAACAAACACTAGGGTCTTCAGAATTACATACTGAAAGATGCAGAAACACTTGACCAGGAAAGGCCAGCAGAACCGTTTACTCCAAAGTGTCTGTCTCTGCTCAAAACACCGACGAGAAAAAAGAACAGATATGATGATGGTTATGTACAAGTGAAACTGAAGTATGATAAATGTGCTTACGCTATCTGTGTACACTAAAACCTTATTATAACAAAGTTGCACCTTACACAAAAGTAAGTTTCTTATATCCATGAATTCTTTATGAAAGTTCATTCCTAACACTACATTTATTGCAAGACTATTCTTCATTCGCTTTGTTATAACCGATATTTCGTTATATCTCAGTTCGCTATATCGAGCTTTGAGTGTATTTTTTAGTAAAAGAACATACCACCTAATACTTATGTAATGATGTTGCACCTAGGATATGCGTAATATTCGCTTTTTGATCAACAATGTTCACAGGTATGAATGCAGCCACCAGATCAAGATGGCTGGGCATTGAGGAAGTGCCTAAACTTTTGCCGGGAGGCTGAATCACGTGACAGACGAACAGACCAAAATTTCTGCGTTCCAACAAAGCTAACCTCTTTAAAACAGGTTTTGGCTCAACACAGACACCGACGTCATAGTGCGCATTCAGAGCAGGCAAGAAAAGAAGCTGCGGCCACATTGACACACATGCTCAAGATGCTCAAGCCAACATAATCTGAGTCTCGGAGGACAAACGTTCAGTCGCCACCACTGGCACCGAAGAGTGTCCACTCACTAAGGCTGGCTTTGTGACGCAATGCTTTGTGCTATCTATTTTTTTCTTCCTCCAACAATGCACTTATGTTGACACCTGTCCCAATATCTCCGCCAAGCATCCTGGTCCAACTACAAGGAGTCTTTGGCAGCTCAGTGTGTTACAACATGCTCCAAATCCTAGATGCGAGAGGTACAGTTCGCAGTGTGCCCCCCGGACACATGAAAGCGTTATTTCTGCTCTCCCATTTTGCAGATTCCATGCAGTCATGACTGTGTAGCACTGCACACAGATTCTATTCAGCATAGCACTTTGCTGAAGCATTTTAAACAGGGCGTGATCCACACTAAAGTTGATCGTATATATCACACATTTAGGCACGTGGTCTGTCTTCCAATTGTGTCATAGTGGTCACCACATAAAGCTTCTCTGCTTGAAATTTTTGACTCAGAGGTTCAATTCCTCAGTTGGGCAGCTGACTTCTATACAAGCTTCTTTCAGAGCTATCTACATAACCTTTCCTAGAGTGACATGAGTTCCATGAGAAATTCTTAGTGGACCCCAAAATAAAACACTGCTATGTCAAGGAAGCCCTGCAAAACTTTTTCTACCCAATCAAAAAAACACTGCCGATTGGTAGTAGAGACATCCTAGAACACGCAAGCCAAATGTTACAGTACAACATGCAGCCTAAAATTTTGAACGAATTTTTCACAGTCTGAAATCACTCATTCACCTTTTGACAAATAAAGTAGACTCTTATTAAACCTATGGCCTGCACTCACTTCAACGGGTTTGGTGGCACCGTTCAGAGTACCATGTTAAGCTATATGCTCTTCAATCTATAAGTATTCCTCAAACTTCACAAAACTAAACGTGCTTCCTTGCTGAATTGCTGTCGTCATTCCACCACAACGATGATATGAGGTATCCGACAACATGAGCAAGTTGAGACGACGCTGCTATCACTATCAGCATGGCAAAACAAACCCCATCATGGTGCGATGCTTCGCACGTCATGTCCGAAGGATCCTTTTAGTGTACCAGTGACACCTGCCATGTCAGCGGAACAGCTTAAAAGGCCAAACATGACCTGCACCCACTTCACCGGGTTTGGTGGCACGGTTCGGAGCACCATGCTAAACTGCGTGCCCTCCATTCTACAGGTTGGTGATAAACAGACCTTTGTTAAATGTACTAAAGCTAGTTATGTAGGTCTAGTTGTGCTGCCAAGCCCACAGCACACGTTGCTTTGCTACCTGAAGTGTGTTTGTGCGATAATTTGGTTACTGCCACTGAGTGGCGACATTGAACAGAACCCAGGTCCTGACAAAATAGACCAAATACTATAGGCTGTCACTGAACTTAAGATATTGCATACAGTTCTTGAAACAGGTCCTAAAGATGTCTAGCTAAGGCTATCTCAGATTGGAAGTATGTTTATGTCATTAAAGCGATGTCAGGAGAAGGTAGAAAAATGTGAAGCAACAGTATCGGCTATGCGCAGAAAGGTTACTGAAATGTACAACAAAATTGAAGACCTTGAAAATAGAAGCCGCCAAAACGATATCGTTATCTACGGTCTTAAAGAAACAGAACAAAAACCAGAAGCGGTGGAACAACTAGAGACGCGAGGATTTTTTTTTTTAATTTGGGCATCCAAGTGAAATCTGTTGAGCATGTGCAAAGAATCAGTGTTAGAAAGCGTAACAGTGACCGGCCGGTAATATTGTGCTTCTATGATTTTACAAAAAAATGCTGGCATTAGGAAACTGTTATAAAATAAAAAATACAGTAATATCTATACTTGAGGACTACTTAAAGTCTGTTCGTGAAGCTCGGAGGAAGCTGTGGCAGGCATCTGTGTGGAATCTCCCAGTAACAAAGCTAAAGTGACACTAATTTACAACAAACTTAAAATCAACAGGGACGGAAATGATGTAGGTCTGTGTGCTCAGATTTGGGTGCACGTTAAAGAAACCCATGTGGTCAAAATTTTCGGAGCCCTCCACTACGACGCCTCTCAATGATATGGTGGTTTTGGGACGTTAAACCCCACATATCATTCAATCAATTAAAATCAACGGGGAACGCATTACATAGAATGAGACTGAAAATAAAATGGAAGCTCTGAATTGTGCTTGCTCCGATGGTCGCAAGGCAAGCACTTTTCAAACATGACGTTGTACAAAAGAACCACTTACGCTGCTATGTTTTAATGCAAGAAGTATTGTAAACAACATACAGCAGTTTAAACAACTGCTGCCTTTGTACGTACCTGATGTAGTTGTCATAACGGAAACGTAGCTTAATTTCGACATTCAGGATTGAGAGATTGTGCCACCAGCATTTGCGCTGCTTTGTATAGATATGGATGGCCATGGCAAGGGCATAGCTATGGCCATTAAATGAACTATGTCTTTTCAAAAAGAAAGTGGCATTGCTGGTCAGGAAAGTGTGTCGTGTTCGATCCTGATTAATAACATCACTTTGTTGATTGGTGGTGTATACCCCTGTCCGGGTGCCCTGGTGAATATCTCGCAAAGCTACAAAACTTCCTTCATGGCTGTGTGAGCGAGCGAACGAAACTAATACTAACTGGGCATTTTACTATTACGGTATGCCAGGAATAAACTGGGACAATTTTGCCATTAGAAATACTGCTGTTAAAGATTCAAATTTACTTTTTGACATATTGTTTAGTTTTTCATTGACACAGCTGGTGATAGAATCAACTCTCATCCATGGGTCGACATGTTTAGTGCTTGATCTTGCATTTTTATCTGCCTCATTAGCACCACAAATAAGTATTGAAATCATGGCATGAGTGGCCACGTATCGCATGCAGCGATGTGCATATCAGTTAAAGACTACCACAGACTGAATGACAAAAGCTTTATAGACTTCTTTGAAGCAGTACAAGATGATTTCTTTAATATGTCAT